CATTTGATTCAAGGTTGGAAGACTTAAGCGTGCCCAATCCCAGAACTGCAGAGAAGGTTAGAGGTTTCAACTCTAATCAGATTCTATCCTGCTTTAAAAAAACTCCAAGATGAGTGTATCTAATTAGTAGAAGAACATCAATAAATACATTTTAAAATATAAATCCACATTTGATTAAGGCTATTTCCTGCAGCCTTATTTGTAATAGCCAAAGACATTCAGAAAGATAAAATTTAGATTTGACTAAAAAAATAACAGACTCATGAGGCTAGCCTCATGTTTATAAAAGGTCCAAAATACTGCTAATTACGCCTGTGAGAAACGTTGTCCATACTGACAAATGCTCAAGTAATCCAATCTGTACTCAAATTTTAGTGACAGTGAGGTTTTCTTTATTCGATTTTGCAAAATCTGGTGCACAACCCAGTAAACATGGGCAGACACACCACATAGCCTGCCACAAATGGTTTGTTTTGTTTTTTTAATGTTTTATTGTGAGTTATATAATAGTTTACATGCGAGAACCTCAGTTCCATATTCATTCCATCGTTTATCATTACATTGCCATGGTTCCAATCCCCTCCATGCATCGTCTTCCGACCAAAGGGCCTGTGCTCTACACTTCTCCCTCCCCCCTCAGTCTTCGGCCCACAGTTCCTCTCTCTCTCTGGATCCAAAGTCCCCAGCCGCTTCATCCCTCCATGTCATCATCTCTGTCTCCATCTCAGGCATCCCCGGTTCTCTGAGTGGGGTCCCATTCTGGGCTCTTATCCGTTGGTGGTCCCAGAGACCTCCGCTCCTAGACTGGAGAAATAATTGCTCTCTTCCTTGCTACAAAACATCTACCCTTGCATTTCCAACACTCACAATCTGTGTTGATAACCATTATTCACTACAGTATCGCACATAACCTATCTGTATTTCATTTCATCAGCTCCACCTAGACAAATTGGATAGTACTCACTGGTGATTCTGCCTTCCTCCATGCCCCCTAAGTTTAGGTTCCCTCTTGAAAGCTTGTAAGCCAGTTACTTTTTGCCTTTGTAGCCCCTCCCTCCCCATTTGGGTATCCAATGTCCAAGTTGCCCCTCTCTGTCTACTCTGTGTGTTGAGGGGGTGGGCATGTTTCTTGCTGTAAGGATTTGTTGCCTCTTTTGTGTCACTGCATGCATATGCATAGGTTAAGTTCATCAGCTTGGATCAGTTCAGTCTTCTTACCCCCTCCCCGCCCCCTTCTTTCTTCTCTTGGTTGAGCTCTGATTATCCAGTCCCGGTCACGTGGGTGTCATCTGTAAGTGTGGGTTTTCTTGTGCACATGCCCTCTCTTCCCATCAGACGGCAGCTCCATTCTCCACTTGAGTCCTCCGTGGCCATGTCACTGACTCTGGGCCCAGGAGTCCTCAGGTCTCCTCGCACTGCTTGCCAACCAGGTCCCCAACTAGGTCCATAGAAGCCCTCTGAATATTGTGAGGTTTAGCTCGCCGCTTCATTGCTGCTTTTACCCCATTTCTCCCCAACGGTGAAGAGTGTGTTTACCAATCCGAGCGTGCATTTCCACTGAGTCTCAGTTTTTTTTGGGGGGGGCTACGTTGGTGGGCACAAATGGTTTTTATTCTTGTCTCCACATAGCCCCTCCACCAGTTCCAGTTCCCCATATACAATTCTATGGCACACCCCATTTTCCCTCCCCACAGAGAAGCCAAAATGGCTTACCATGGTCTTAATGCCTATATTCTTATTTAAATTTCCTAGTTCTGGAAGAGCCTGCTTACATATTCCTGGATGTGAATCAACAATCTGTCTTTCAGATCTAGCAATCTGATCAGTTCCTAAAGATGGCATGCTTGAAGAACCAGGAAGTTATTCCTCAGATGCCCACATTGAATTAGTACGTCTTTCATACTAAGAAATTTTTTTTCCTTAGTCACACACATGCAGAAAGTTGCTGTTTAGAGAATTATACTGAACAGGAAAAAGTAAAAACATTCAGTGCTCTCTCCAGTCAGGAGACAAGTTAATATGTTAATCAGGTTACTGAGTGGGACCAATCCTCTCCATCCAGGAGTCAAACTAGAATGTTAACAAGTTACTGAGAGGAACCACTCCTCTGGTATCCCTCCTGTCTTCAAACAGGTTTGCAACCTAACCTCTCCCCAATTCTGACCCCATATAATTCTACACTGCCCTATCTTTGGGGCTCAGAATCTGGAGAAGCTAGCTCCTCTGGGTCAGCTGGCTTAATAAAATCTGAAACTCTACTTCACCTCTCCAAGTGGCCTCAGCCTCGGTTTCTTTGACAACACAGCAAGAGCTACTGCAACACCCTCAGGGCCAGGGCTGCTGCGTCACTCCCAGACCCAGAGCTGCTGTAACACTCTCAAATCTAAAACTGCTGTAATATTACTAGTAAGGATGAAAACTTACACTTTGGACATAAAATAGCTTCTCCACCTTGTGCATACATGTAGAGAGATGAGAGGAATGAGTAAAGACTTTCCCACATTGCTTACATTCATTAGATCGCTACATTGTGCCTTCTTCTACCTTGTGGCAAGGTTACTGGGTTGCCTAAAGACTTTTCCACAATCCTTAATTCATACAGCATCTCTCCACTCTGAGTCCTTGCATCTATAGTAAGTTGTGAGAAACACATAAAGGCCTTCCCACATTCCTTACATTCAGATGGCCTTTTCTCCATTGTGAGTCCTCATATGAAGAGTTGGTTGTGAGGAACACCTAACGGCTTTCCCACATTCCTTATATTCATAAAACTCTCCACCGTGAATTCTTTTATGTGAAATGAAGTGTGAGGAGCGACTAAAGGCTTTCCCGCATTCTTTACATTTATATGATTAATATCCTGCTTTTTATAATAACTGTTTTATAGTGTACCTTTCACTAGTCCTATATACCTGTAGTATATTAACTGGCCCTATATACCTGTAGTAACAACTGAAGACTGAGAGGTATGCTGTATTGATAGCTTATTTAGATACGGTATTGCTAGCTTTGATGCTGTCTTAGGTTGGGTTTTCTAGAGAAGTAGAACCAGTGAAACATCATATATATATAAAACCTTACAATTGTAGAGACCTGGTCTCCAGCTGAAAAGAGAGAGTTACTCTGCATTTTCATTATACTGGAAGCAGGCCACACCCGCAAGGAAGTATCCCTCACCAGAGTTAACTATGCCTGTTTTAGGTTTCATTGCCATGGAAATAAGCAAATCTTAACTGCTAAACCCACCACTCTTCTGTCAGTTTGTCGTACTCTGGTGGCTTGTGAATTGCTGTGATTCTGGAAGCTATGCATGGGTATTTTAAATACCAGCAGGGTCACCCATGGTGGACAGGTTTCAGATGAGCTTCCAGATGAAGACAAACTAGGAAGAAGGAGTGATGAACTACTTCCAAATATTTAGTCACTGAAATAGCAGAAAAACACTGTCAGATATAGTGCAGGAAAATGAGCTCCTCAGGTTGGAAGAAGTACAGCCAGAGTGCTCCTTGGAGGCCAAGATGGCCAAAACTTCGTCTTTCATACTTTGGACATATTGTCAGGAGGGACCAGTCGTTGGAGAAGGGTATCATGTTTGGTAAGGTGGAGGGTCAGAAAAAAAGAGGAAGACAACCAGCGAGATGGATTGGCAATGTCACAGCATCAATGGGCTCAAGCGTGGCAATAATAGTGAGATTGGCCCAGGATGGGGTAGTGTTTTGTTATGTTGTACAAAGGGTTGCTATGAGTTGGTACCAACTCGATGGCACCTAATAACAACAGCTAAACCTCTGAAATACTGGCCTAGTTGAGTTGACACAGAACCCTAGTCATTACAGATGCCATTCCCTGAAATGGTGAAAATCTTGTAGTACAAGTCTAAAAAAGCAAACAGAAAGCTTTGTGGTTGCAGTCCCGGAAATTCAGTGGGTATAGATCTGGCCCATACTAACCCTGTTGCCATCCAGTTGATTCTAATTCATAAGGACTCCATAGGACAGAGGAGAACAGTCCATAAGGTTTCCAAGGATATAGTGGTGGTGTGCCCTAGAGTCGCTTCCGACTGAACACAGGGTTTCCGAGGCTGTAAATCTTTACAGGAACAGAAAGCCTCATCTTTCTCTGGCGGAACCACTGGTAGTTTTGAACTGCTGACCTTGAGATTAGCAGGCCGATTCATAAGGATGTAATCGCTAAGAAAACAGTCACATCTTTCTCCCGTGGAGTGGTTGGTGGATTTCAACAGTCCACCTTCGACTGGCAATCAAACGCTTTAACAACTGCACCACTAGGGCTCAAAGTTGGTGGGCAATATTCAATAAAATAGTTGAAAAATAAAACATGCTTTTACATGTGATTATAAACGCAGATTATAAGCAAGTTTTCCCTACTAACGTGTGGAAATCTCTCTTTGTGTAAGAGGAGGTGGGTGGTTATGTGCTGTGGAGTTGTGACCTTGTATGGGATCTCTAAAGCTGTAAATCTTTACAGGAGCGGAAAGCCTCCCCTCCCCCTCCCGCAAAGACTAGTAGTTTCGAACTGCTGACCTTGAGGTTAGCAGTTGGACTTGTAAACACTAAACTACTAGAACTCCTCTCTGTGTAAGGGAGGAATTCCAAAGTTTTAGGTCTAGGAACTCTTAGCTCCCATATACTTCTGTAGCTACTCCATCATAGGAATGACCAAAAATAGGTCCATACATTTCCAAACTCCCCCTGGTAGATGTACTCGCCTCTTTTGAGAACCGCTGGTCTAGAGAGAGCGGGCGTTGCCAGTGTAAAGACCAGCTGTAAATACAGCCCCACCCCTTTCTCGGAAAGCGTGGGGCTGTGGAGAAGGAGGAAATGGAGGGCGGGATGTCCCTTTTTCTAACTTGCATCAGCTTTTTTGCCCAGAGACTGGTGACGAGCCACCGTGAGCTCGGGTTTTGATTGGGGGGAGATGAGAACCTGTAAAAGCGTATTAAAAGGGGGAGAAGCCCAGCACTTTTCGTTCTCCTGTAGGTGGGTGTTTGTGCCGCGACGTCCTTCTTGGTGGCTTTGACTCTGCTTGCTGGGTTGTTTCCGCCTACCTGGGCACGACTATCGTGAGTGCTTCCTTTCCCTGCTTCTCCTTCTCTATTCTTGGGTTCCTCCCTGGTCGTCGCCCTCAGTCCTCCTTCCTGGGCCCGGTTCGGTTAGTCCGGCTTTCAGTCCCGCTCATTCCGGGCTGTGTCTGGATCGAAAGCCGCCGAGAGGCCGGGACGTGGCGAGCCGCCGGGCCTCCTGCTTAGTGCTCCTTCCGTTTACGATGGCTGCGGGTAGGCCTGGGCTAGACAGGACTAAGTTACCTAGGTCATTGGTGAGCTAGTGAGTGGCTAAGTGAGGCTGGGGAGCATTGTTTCCCGGGCCGCACAGCCTGATCCTGGGTACTCTCTCTCCTAGGGAGCAGTAGGAAGGAGGAGAGGCAAGCAAATCCCTAAAGATAAACAGCTGAAGACTGTGATCCATCTAGGCTGGAGCCTGTGGGTTTCCTGGGGAGCCCTACCTGAGTAAGTAGGTAGGGACCTCTGGTGGAGACTTTAGCACTGCATCCTCCTCCAGACTCTACCCAGTTCACTCTATGACTGAACCCGTCCTGACCAGGTTCTAAGAATTGCGTCTAAATTCAGACTGTGTCGTGAGATTTGGGGTGACATTTCTATGGCAGCTTAAGTGTTTGTTTTGGTAAAAACTTTATTGAACTTCTGGCATGCCACAAAATGGAGTCCTGGTGTGGCGCTGTGGGTTAATGCGTCAGACGGCAAAGTCGTTTGAACTACAAGGTTGGCGGTTCAAGCTCACCAGTTACTCCTTGGAAACCCTATACAGGGTCACTATGGGTCAGAATCAACTCGACTGCAATCAACAACAACAATTCACCCATTTAAAGTATACAATTCATTGGTATCTAGTATATCCACAGTAGTGTAAACCACAATCAATTTATGAATATTTTTATCACCTTAAAAGGAAATCGTGGCAGAGAGGAAACTTGTAGCAATAATTGAAGAAATAGTAAAAGAAAAATATTACAGATAAATAACTCCAGGAACTAGAAAGAGAAGAGCAAAGTAAATCTAAACCTGCTGGAAGAAAGGAAATAACAAAGATGAGAGCAGACATAAATAAAATTAAAAAGGAAAAACAACAGACTCAGTAAAATCAGAAGTTGTTTCTTTGAAAGATCAATAAAATTAACAAACCTTTAGTTAGACTGACAAAAGATGCAAATAACCAAAATAAAAAGTGAAAGAAGCGACATTGCAGCTGAACCAATAGAAATAAAGAGAATTGTGAGAGACTATTGTTGAGCTGTATAGCAACAAACTAGATAAACTAAATGAAATGGATAAATTCTTAGAAGCACACAACTTACATACACAGACTCAAGAGGAAATAGAAGGTCTCAACATACTCATAACAAGTAAAGAGAGCAAATTAATGATATAAAACCTGCAAGAGTCCTGGACCAGATGATTTCACAGGGGAATTCTATTAAACATTAAGAGAAGAATTGACACTATTTTAAACCCTTCCAAAAGACTGAGAAGAAATGAATACTATCTAATCCATTCTATGAAGCAAACATAACCCTAAAACAAAAATCAAAGGCATTTCAAGAAAGACAAAACTACAGGCCAACATCTCTTTAAATATACATATAAAAATCATCAACAAAATAGTAGTGAACAGGCTCCAACAGCATATTAAAAGCATCATACAATATAATAAAGTGAGCTTTATTCCAGGAATGCAGGCATGGTTCAACATTAGAAAATTAGTCAATGTAATTAAAATTAGTCAATATATCATTAAAACAAAAGAAGTGTGATTACTACTGTGGATGTAGTAAAAATATTTGATAAAACTCAACATTTTGTCTTGATAAACATTCTTAAAGAAGATTGGAATAGAAGGGAAATTCCTCAATATGATTCAGGGCATATATGAAAACCCAACAATGTCATTAATATCACATGCAAGTAAAATTTTGCTGAAGGTAATTTAAAAATGGTTGCAGTAGTTTATCAATAGGGACCTGCCAGAAATTCAAGCTGGATTCAGAAGTATACAAATGTGAAACTAGGAATATCATTGTTGACATCAAATGAATCTTGGCTGAAAGCAGAGAATGCCAAAAAGATGATTTATTGGCCATGCAAAGGTATTCAAATGTGTGGGTAATAACAAACTTAATATCATTGCGAATAATGGATTTACCAGAACACTTAATTATGCTTATGAAGAACCTGGACATAGAGGCAGTTGTTAGACCAGAACAAGGGGATACTGAAAGGTTAAAACCAGGAAAGGTGATGTCAGGACTGTATCCTTTCACCATATTTATTCAGTCTGTATGTTGAACAAATAATCTGAGGAGGTGGATTATATGAAGAAGAACGTGGCATCAGGATTAGAGGAAGACTCGTTAACAACTTGCAATATGCAGATGATATAACCTTGCTTGCTGGAAGTGAAGAGGACTTTATAAATACTGAAGAATATAAAAAAGACTACAGCCTTCAGTCTGGATTGCACCTCATTGTAAAGAAAACAAAACACAATTGGCCCAATAAATAACATCATGATAAATGAAGAAACGAAGTTGTCAAAGATTTCCTTTTGCTTGGGTCCACAATCTACATTCATAGAATCAGCAGTCAAGAAATCAAATGATGTATTTATTGCATTAGGCAAATCTGTTGCAAAAGACCTATTTAAAGTGTTAAAGAGCATAGATGTGAGTTTGAGGACTAAGGTGCACCTTACCCAAGCTGTTGTATTTCCAATTGGAGAATTGTTTATTTCGATCCTTGCTTATTTTTAAATGGATGACTCTGGTAGCGTAGTGGTTATGAATCGGGCTGCGAACCTTAAGGTCAGAGGTTTGAAACTACCAGCAGCTCTGCGGGAGAAAGATGAGGCTTTCTACTCCTGTAAAGATTTACACCCTCGGAAACCCTGTACAGGGTCGCTATGGGTTGGAACCGACTCGATGGCACTTAACAACAACAACAACAACAATATATTTGCAGTACCATTACCAGGTGCCATCAAGTTGATTCTGATTCATGGAAACACTCCATAGGGTGTTTTGTTGTTAGTTTTTCAAAAGTAAATCTCTAGGCTTTTTCACTAAAGCACCTCTGGATGGGCTCAAACCTTCAATCTTTCAATTTGCAACCAAGCATATTAAACATGTGCTCAACCCAGGAACATACTCTGACTACAAGTCCTTTATCAAATATATGATTTGCAGATATCATCTCTTATTATGTGAATAGTCTTTTTACTTGGTGGTGTTTGCAGCACAAAATTTTAAAAATTTTGACTAAGTCTTAATTTAGGAGGCCTAGTGTGGTGCTGTAGGATAAGAACTGGCCTGCTTACCACTTTACAACAACAAAGTCCAATTTATTTTTTTGTCATTTGTACTTTTGGTGTTACATCTAGGATAGCATTGTCTGCTCCAAGGTCATGAAGATTTTTGTATATATTTTTTTCTAAGAGTTTTATAGTTTGCTCCCTTATTTAGTACTTTGATCCATTTGGAGTTAAAATTTATATATGATGTGACATAGGTGGCAGTTTGGAGTCTTGGTGTAGCACCATAGGATAAGCACTTGACCTTAAGGTTTGAACTGTAAGGTCGGTGGTTTAAACTCACCGGCTGCTCCTTGGAAACCCTACATAGGTCATTATGAGTCAAAATCGACTCAACAGCACTTAACAACATCAACAAGTGGCAGTTTATGGTTTCAAAGCACTTTCTCAGTCCATTAACTCATCTTTTCACATTTCATCTCCCATTTGGCAGTAATAAAAAAATTTCTTTTGAGCGAGCTCTTACTAGGTGCTAAGACTTGACCTGTTTTTTGCCTTACTAGCATTCTCATAATTGCCTTTCAAGGAGAAAATTGAAGCCCAGAGAAACTAAGTAAATTCACCAGCATCAGAAAGGGTATCAGAACTAGAATTATGATTCAAAGCCAGACTTGACTCCAGAATCCAGCCCATGAACAATACATGTGGGCATGTGTTGAGCTTCTCTTGATGATAATTGTATTCCTGAGGTTTTCAATAAATTTACCAGCTTCATCTTTCCATGTAATATCCTTGAAGGCATATGGGTCTTCTTCTGTAGACTTGTCTATAGAACAGGCCTTGGTGGTTATGACTGTCAATGGCCTGGTTCTTAGTTGGAAATCTGTTTGGCTTCTATACTGATACTTTCTAAAACTGATAACATTTTATCCTTTCACATTTTAAAAGGTGAAAGCTTACTAAGATGAAGGAATCATAGAAGTTAATGACTTGGGTTATCGAGGACAACTACAACCATCAAAGTAGGAGACAGGTGACATTTTTGGAGTGTCTATATATGCCGATGTTCTAGTAACTCTCATTTGTTCCTCACAACTCTCTATGAACTGAGGTTTTCTGTTTTGTTTTTGATACATGTGGAATATAGTGTTTTATTTATTTAAAATAATGCAAAAATATAGCTTAACAACATTATTGAAGCTATTGGTAATAGTAGGTACGTTTCTGATCACAGTTTTCAATTTTAAGCAGAGTTTATATTTAAAAATAGATCAAAGTAATACATGTTCTATATTTAATCAATAAACTGTGTTGATCTAAATTTTATTTAAATTTAAATCTTAAGTTGTGAAACACTGAGGACTATAACAACATTTAAACTTTGGTATAAATCACTTACTTCTTTGAAGACTGGGAATACAAGAACGTGTTGTGGTAGCATGGTTAACTCCACACAAGTTCATAAGCCTGCCTGGGAAAGAGTCCCAACCCCTGAGATGGTCTTGGAAGCAGAACTGACCGAACTCAAGGAAAGTGATGGCGATGACGTAGTTGACCTCACCTGTGAGTCCTTAGAACCATGGGGATTGATTTAACTGACAGACTCTTGTGATTACTGAAGAAATGAGGAGGCCAAGGAGAAATACAAAATAACACAATGGTGGTTGTCTCTGGGAAGAATTGGGGTACCAGGCATCCATGTGCATGCTTAATTACAAAAAGTTTGTTTTTATAAAAGATTTTCATGCTGAGATTTTGAGCACCTAAATAACTGTCTTAGTCACGTACTCCAAAGTCATAGCACCTACATTCAAAACAAGTCTCTTTCTGTGATTTATCCTTGATCACCACTTCCTCATTCTAAGAACAGAATCTGGGATAAACCTCTTTAAAACTCCATTGTTGCCTCTGTTAGAAAGGGAATCCTGGGCAAGATGAACCTTTGTGTGAGCTAAATGGTCCAATTCTTATTAGAAATTCAAATGTGCAAAGAGCTATTTCCTCTATGTTTACAAAAACTAAATGTTTCCTTGAGATTGCCATAATAGCTCCTTATTGAAGTATTGACTCTTCCTTAATGTTGAATTATGTGCTTCTCTTCACATGAGTGCCCCTTGACTTTCTATTTCTCCTCACTACCATCAGGACACAGAATAGGGAGGGACACTCAGCATCAAGAGCAGTGGTCTCAAAACTTTGTTAAAATGTGTAACTATTGAAAATGTAAAAATATGTATTATATATAAGTACCTATAACTCTATATTACTACTAACCTTATTTAACTGTTACTAAAGCTTAATTTTCCTTTCAGTTTTTCAGATAAAAACTCAGATTGAGTTGTCACATCACTGCCTCCCAGAAGATTTACTCCCGTGTGGGAGCACAGCAATTGTAAAGGTGAAGACAGGAGACTGGAACCAGGATCAGTGTTCAAAGATAGTAGAAAGTCTGGGCTCTAAGTTCTTCTAGAAGCCAGAAAATAACTAACCAATCTTTGTTATACACTGAGGATTTTAACATTCATTTAAACTTTGGCCTAAATCACTTTGAAAGCTGGATCCACAAAGCACAATGAATACAAGAATGTGTTGTGGTAGCATGGCCAATTCCAGACAAGCCAATAAGTCAGCTGGAGAAAGAGGTTTAACTCCTGAGATGGCCTTGGAAACAGAACTGATAGAACTCACAGAAAGTGATGGGGATGAAGTAGTTGACCTCACCTGTGAATCGTTGGAACCCATGGTGATAGACTTAACTCATAATGACTCTGTTGTGGTGACTGAAGAAAGGAGGTGGCCAAGGAGAAATACAGAGCAACTTGAAGGCCAAACTAGCAGCTGTGTGGTGAACAGTGATGATGAGGAGTTGATGAAAGACAGAGATGTATATGTGATCAACAGTGTTCACCACAATGCCCTGGAAGAAGAAAGTTTCAGTTGTCCACAACCAGGTTATATCTGGTGTCGAATTTGCATGGATGGGTATTCAGAGATTGAACAGAGCAAACGATGCATCTATTCTACAGAATGTGGCCACATCTTCTGTAGTCAGTGCCTTTGCAATTTCCTTAAATATAGTAAAACTTGTCCAGTTTGTTTGAAAAAAATCCATGGCCATCAGTACCACCGCATATATATATGATGTGTGCCGTGTTGCTCAGGACAGACAATCTGGCTGGAGTTTTACATGCATTAAATGTAGGAACCGGGGGTTGTTGCCATCCAATGCTTGAACTCAAAAAGCTTGCTGTTTATATATGGTATCTGGTATATGTAAAAAACTCTTGTTTCTATATACTATGAGATAACTTCTTTGGGCTTTCCTTTGGTTTCGTGCTGCAGGGCTTCACTTCAATTGTCTTTGTGTACTAGAGACTAATTGGTGTCCTCAAAGCAAATTTCCCTCTTTTTCTAATAATCAATTTTTAGTTGGCTGCATCTGGCCTTTTTGAAGTATGTAACTGGGAACACCATCTTAGATATGGTGGAACAAGTAGATTGAATGGAATTTAAGAGATTGACAACTTTACAGATCAGAGCTACCATATAAAGTTTGGAAGTTCATGTGCAAGATATAAATTTCATCCTTGTTTAAGCAACGATTCTATTGGGTCTTGGTTAGATTAATGGAAACGACATTGTGATTAATGAACTAGGCAGAGTGCTGCCTCTGTATTTTCTGATTCCATTGGGAGTGGAAGTCTGTCAGTCCTTCTGGCCACTTCTCCAACCAGCAGAGTGAAGGGGGTATATAGGCAAGTACCTGCCCTCCTGAGTAGCCTAGTGGTCTTTGAGACCAGCCTAGGGAGTTGCCTAGTCAGCCTAGAATATGGATGCATACTTTTGTGCTTTCTGGAACCTGCTCAGCCAGAGAGGGGCTGCTTTCACCCTGGATTTACAAACATGCCTGCCTTCAACCACACCGATGGATCAACTAATCAACAAGTCTGTGTGTTTCTCTGTAACATGCAAATGATCTCATCACCATCTCAGATGCTCCTGGGTGAGAGGCCTTGGAAAGACCCTCCATTGACTGTTTTCCTTTGCAGAGAATCACATAGCACTGACAATTCAGCCTACTCTTCAGGATTGGAGGAGAGTGGTTTCTGTAGTGCCACATTCCTATTGCTAAGAATGAGATGTTCAATAAAGCATGCTCTCTATTGGTTATCTGTGGTTGTAGCACTGTTGCTCTTCCCCACGGAGGCTTGTTTGTGCTGGTGGAGCAGCACCGCTTCCTGCCTACTCACTGCATTATCTGGATTGTAGCCCAAACCCCAGACCTCAGTTATTAGACTTGGCACAGAATACGCAAAATAAATGTGTTGTATTCCCTTCTCTGGGTTCCTTTATTTATTGTAAAATGAAATAGAAAGAAAATATGAAAATGAAAAAGATTCAGAAAAATGCCCTAAGTATTTTCTTTTCATACTTCACTAGGTCATCTTGTGCATCCCTTGCTTTGGAGACAATTAATTGTTCTGTGACATAGTATAGTATGTCACTGACTTGGCATATTTATACACTCATGTGACTAACACCTCAATCAAAACAGGAATTTCCCTTGTGCTCAGTCCAGACAATCCCCACCCCCATAGGTAAACACTGTTGTAATTGATGTCATTATAGTTAGGGGACATTGACTTCTGTTGTCTAACCCAGTAATTAGGGAGAAAATCTGGAGAAGGAGTCAGACTACAGGCATTGCTGTTGATAAGTGCTGTTGAGTCAGTTCTGATTCTTAGTGACCTTGCATAGGGTTTCTGAGGAGCAACTGGTGGGTTTGAACTAACAATCTTGTAGTTAGCAGCCTAGTGCTTATCCTACAGTGCAACATCAGGACTTCAGTATAGGCACTGGTGGTGGTGGTTGTGTGCCATGGAGTTGGTTCTGACTCATAGTGATCCTGTATAGGGTTTCCAAGGTTGTAAATCTTTATGGGAGTAGAAAGCCTCACCTTTCTACTAAGGAACAGCTGGTAGATTTGAACTGCTGACCTTGAGGTTAGCAGCCCAACACGTCACTACACTGCCAGGGTTCCTTGTATAGGTATTATTGTTGTTAAGTGCCAGTGAGTCAGTTCCAGCTCATAGTGACCCTGTGTAGGGTTTCCAAGGAGAGGCTGGTAAGGTTGAATTGTTGACCTTGCGGTCCATTGCTTATCCTATAGTGCCACATGTTAGCAAGGGATAAAAGGTTTGTTTTAATGGAAACATGGCTTACAGTGTCTGAAGAACTTAAGCAAGAAGGAATTAGTAGTGACAGCTGCTATGTCCCACGCACAGTAGGACATCATAGGCAGTCAGTATAGACTTAGCAAAGAGTGGAACCTGAGTAGAATGTAAAAACATAAAGTGAAGGAAGATGCCACAGGGCAAATAAACAGGAATAATCTGATGTGACTATTCAAACCTACCAGCCACTCCTGGGAAACCCTATACAGTGTTGATATGAGTTGGAATCAGCTCAGTGGCACCTAACAACATGGTGTACGGCTGTGTGAAAAAGTGAGAAAGCTAGAGAAAGATGATTAAGGACACATTATGAACTGATGCATTGCTGGGTGATGCCTATTACAATTCACTCACTCATCCACTCAGCTAGGATTTATTAAAATTCGACTGTTTTAGGTCCATGTAGCTAGAAAGAGGAGCAAGTCTGCTCTTTTCTCCAAGAAGCTCATGACTAGTGGAGAAGAGATAGGAAAAAAACAACCAGTTATAATATGATGAAAGAAATAATGTAATGGAGTGCCGGTGTGATGCTATAAGAAAAGCATTGGACTGCAATGCAGGTTTGAGCCACAGGATCAACAGTTCAAATCCACCAGCTGCTCCTCGGAAACCCTGTACAGGGTTCCAATGAGTTGGAATTGACTCCATGGCACTTAGCAACAACAACAATAAAACCTATTAACAACTAACTGCAAGATGCTGCTAAAGAATAGAAGAGGAAATAACTGTCAGTATCTTTGGAAATTGTTGTTAAGTACCATTGAATAGGTTCTTGCTCATAGTGACTCTGTATAGGGTTTCTGAGGAACGTCTGTTGAGTTTGAACCACCAACCTTGTGGTTAGCAGTCCAGTGCTTATCCAAAAGTACCACAGCAGAACTCAAAGATGGAAAATTGAGTTTCCTTGGAGTCCTTAAAGTTTGTTGTTGATACGTACCCTCAAGTTGGTTCTGGCTCATAGAGGTCCTATATACAGTAGAATGAAACATTTTCTGGTCCTGTGCCATCCTCACCACTGTTGCCATGTTTGCAACCATTGTCGCAGGCACTGTGCCCGTCCATCTTGTTGAGGGCCTTCTTTTTTGTGCACTCTGTATTTTATCAAGCACGATGTCCTCCAGAGACTGGTCCCTCCTGAACATGTTCAAAGCAAACGAGACAGTCTCACATCTAAACATCCTTCTGACTATACTTCTCCCAAAATAGATTTGTTCATTCTTTTGACAGTCTTTGTTATATTCAATATTTTTTGCCAACACCGTAACTCAAATGCATCAAGTCTTCTTTCATCTTATTCATTGTCCAACTTTCACATATATATGAAACGATTGAAAAGAAATGGCTTGGGTCAGGTTACCTTAGTCTTCAAAGTAGTGTCTCTGCTTTTTAACACTTTAAAGAGACACTTGGTTTGCTCAATATGTCATTCTATTTCTTGACTCTTGCTTTCATAGGTGTTGATTGTGGGTCCAAGTAAAATGAAATCCTTGACAAGGTCAATATTTTCTGTTTATCGTGATATTGGTCCAGTTATGAGGATTTTGTTTTTTGATGTTGAAATGTAATCTCCAGTCACTGATCTTCACCAGTAAGTGCTTCAGCAAGCAAGGCTGTATCATCGCATACCACAGGTTGTTAATATGTCTTCCTCCAATCCTGATGCCACATTCTTCTGTATATAGTCCAGCTTCTCACATTATCTGTTCAACAAATAGATGAAATATAGTGAAAGGATACAACCCAATGTGTACCTTTTTCAATTTTAAACCATACAGTGTCTGTTTGAACAATTCATGGTCTGTGTACAGGTTCCACATGAGTTCAAGGTGTAGAGGAATTAAACATTTTATACAGGGTTACTCAGTGCTCTGTGTGGATAAGACTTACATCTCTTAGATCAGTATTCTTGGCCCTGGTCTAAAGACTGAAGAATAAATACCCTCTAGGATTTAGTGTGGCACTGTGGGTGAATGCACCAGACTGCAAAGCTGTTTCAACTGCAAGGTTGGCTGTTCAAGCTCACCAGCTGCTCCTTGGAAACCCTATATCGGGTTGCTATGGGTCAGAACCAACTCGATGGCACTTCACAACAACAACAAGGATTTAGTACAATCATTTACATAAATAAATTGTTTTAACCAATAATAAAATAAATTTTCTGGTTTAAGGACATAGTTTCTATGTGTTCACTAGCATTTCATACGGATTTATTTGATAAGGAATTTAATCTGATGACTACCGTGTACTGTCAAAGTGAGCAAGACATGGCGCTACTCTGCAGCTATTCACAACCAGGTAGATAGACAGGCAATCTAACAGTTACAGTACATTCTGTTAAGAGTACAGGCATGTACAAAGATCTAGGGTGCCATAGAAATGTATAGAGCAGTACACTGGTGGCAATTTTGCACTCTGTCAGAAATTTGCTAATGTCTGAAGACATTTTGATTGTCACAGTGGATGCCACTGGCATCTAAAGGGTCCAGGCCAGGGATGCCTACAGGACACAGGATAGCCCTCCACAGGAAAGAATTATCCAGTACAAAAGGTCACAAGGGTGGAGGTAGAGAAACTCTGGTGTAGAGAGAATGAATCATTTCCATAGGGAATGGGGCAGGAGTTAAGTTTGAGGGGTGGTTAGGGAAGAATTTACTGAAATAGTAAATTCGGAATAGGGGAAAGGATTATGGAATGGTACAAAAAGACAGATGTGTGAAGCTACAGAAGCATGGTATATTTGGGTAGTACCAAACATTCGAGGAAGAATTGTGAGAAGATTGAAACTAGATACTTAAGAAAATATACTGTTTTTAAAGCAACTGTTGTTGTGTGCCATGGAGTCGGTTCCGACTCATAGAGACCCTGCACAGGGTTTCCGAGGCTGTTAATCTTTACAGCAGCAGAACGCCTCATCTTTCTCCCGCGAAGCAGCTGGTAGTTTTGAACCGCTGACCTTGCAGTTCACAGCCCGATTCATAACCATTATGCTACCAGAGCTCCTTATCATAGTTTGTTAATAAGTTTGTTAAAGCAACTACTTCAGGAAAAGCTTTTTGGAGCCATGATGGCTCATTATAGGATACTCAGAAGCACAGTCTAGGTATCTACCTCTGTGAGCTATTTGTTGAATAAAACTGAAATGAGGTTTTTCTTATCCTCCTTCATACAGCCTGGAGTTTTCTAGGGCTTTGTTACTTTTCAGAGATAAAGTAAGAGACTGTTTCCATGGAATGTGATCTCAGTGAAGCTAAACAGCTACTGTCTCAATGCTGTGATTGGATCGTGAACAGGGGCAAACATTTTTTTTCTCATGCGTTAAGCTTATAGACTGATGATGATAATATTTATGTCCTCTCTCACAGAGGAGCCTAGTCAGAGCTGTGGATCTTGAATCCAAATGAGTTGTCTCTTCCCCATCCCCCCCCCACAAAAAGGGTGGTCATTCTATTCAAGCTTATTGTTCTCTTAAGCAAGTGATGATCAAAGCAACTGACAAACTGTCACAGAATCTGTTAGACCTCACTCTGGCTTTGTGCGTCTCCCTGGCTCCTGAACTTTTTGTCCTATGCCATGCTCTGAGTTCACTACTTACAAACTAACTTCTGGTCTGCAGTCATCCTGTATCTGTTTGAGCTCTGATCCAAGTACCTGCTTCTAACCTCTGGCAGCCTGTTGACTGAACATCATGGGGGTGAGGTGCCCTTTTCTAGTTTGGCAGGTTTTCTAGGCATAGTGTGGGAAACCAGGTCATAGAGGGTGGTATGGATTTTGGACTATGAAAGGCAAATCAGGGAAACAGGTAACCTGTGAAGCTTCTGTGCTCTCTCCTGGTCTAGGGATAACTAAGGATTTAGCTAGAAAGATTGGTAGAAAAGGAATGAAATTCACTACAAATTTAAAAATTAAACTAAATGCCTGCACAAAAGTATACTTTCCATATTAATGTAATCACCTTATTTTATATTTAAAAAATATTACGTGTAACTTGGTTTGCTCCTCATACTATTACATTTTTAAATAGTTTTAAAACAGAGTTGATTCTCTTAGGAGATTTAAAATTGAATTCCTTCTTTTAAAAAATATTTTCGAGTTAAAATGAAGGGCATTATATTCTTCTGAAATTAGTGTTTTCTACACCATCAGATAGTCAGATGAATATGCTTATTTGCTGCAATAAAGCTGAAAATATAGTAAAATACATCAACAAGAAAGTTTGACACATGGGTCATTATGTTCTGAATTATCATTTTCACTGGTTTCCACTTCTTATAAAGTTTAATTTGTTCTCATTGTTAAGTGTCACCGAGTTGGTTCTGACTCATAGTGACCCAGTATAGGGTTTCCAAGGAGTGGTCGGTGGGTTTGAACTGCTGTCCCTATGGTTAGCAGTCCAGTGCTTATTCTACAGCACCACGCCAGTACACCAGGTTTAATTTAGTTACATATAAAAACATTAAAATTGGTTCTAATTTATACTATCACTGGACTTTTAGATTTGCTCTGACTCTTCTCTGTCCTTAGCTGTTGAAGCACAAAGGATTACAAACATTTTGTTTCCTAATTTCTAGAGGAAAATATTGGCAAAACCTCAACTGGCAAGACGAATCATAATCAAATAACAATTCAATGATTAAATAAGGTCAATAATCAACATTAAATATGTATTTTCATACTGTAAAATTATCTCTTTTAAGGTGTACAACTGAGTGGTTTAAAGCTTACAAAATTATACAACTATCAGCTCTATCTAATTCTAAAATATTTTTAATCATTCTCAAAAGAAATCCTGTTCTATTAGCAGTCATTCACTTCCCCTTTCTCTGTCACCTCACCACTTGGAAACCATTGTTATTGCTGTTGTTCGGTGCCATCAAGTTGATACTGACTCATAGTGACCCTATGCACAACAGAACAAAACACTGCCCGATCCTGGGTCAACCTCACAATTGTTGCCATGTCTGAGCCCATTGATGCTACCACTTTGCCATTCCATCTTGCTGGGATCTTCCTATTTTTCTCTGACCCTCCACCTTACCTTGATATCCTTCTCTAGCGACTGGTCCCTCCTGACAATGTCTGAAGTATGAGAGACAAAGTTTGGCCATCCTGGCCTCCAAGGAACACTCTGGCTGCACTTCTTCCAACAAAGATCTGTTTGTTCTTTTGGCAGTCCATAGTACTTTCAATATTCTCCTCTAACACCATAACTCAAAAGCATCAATTCTTCTACGGTCTTCCTTATTCATTGTCTATTAATGGAAACCATTAATCTACTTTAAATATATTTTTTAAACACATTGGATAAAATTCATAAATGGCATCCACTCCCAAAAGGCCAGCTCTAACTCTGGTAAGATAACTCTTATTCTGAATCAACTCCAATTGGCCAGGCTCTCCCATAAGTCTTACCTTACTCAGAACACATCTATTTTTAAAGTTTTCAAGACAGCCCTTGTTAGCTTGAAAAGGAATTTTTTTTACTTGCATATTCCTTAATGGTTATGAATTGGGCTGGTAACCTCAAGGTCAGCAGTTCAAAACTACCAGCCATTCTGCAGGAGAAAGATGAGGTTTTCTGCTCCCATAAAGATTTACAGCCTCGGAAACCCTGTACAGGGTCGCTATGAGTCGGAACCGACTCTACGGCACATAACAACAACATTCCTTAGTGAGTATGTTTTTCTGGGTTTGGTCTTCTAAGCACATATTGACAGAGTGGAAAATAATAGTTTTTCTCTCTTCATTTCTACAGAATTATCCACTCAAAATGAAGTAATTTTTAAATTATTATTATAATTGTCTTTTGTTATTTTGTGATTGAGACTTAAATGAATTAGTCGTGTATAAACAGATTGCAAAATTTAAAATAAGACTATATTTGACTATATTTAATGTCATTGATTGTTGATGTTATTTGATTATTGCCAATTGTCAGTCTTGGAGCCCTGGTGTGGCACTGTAGGATAAGCACTGGACTGCAAGATTGGTTTGAACCGCAAGCTCGGCAGTTCAAACTCACCAGCCACTCCTTGGAAACCCTATTCAGGATTGCTGTGAGTCAGAACTAACTCTATGGCACTTGACAACAAAAACAATTGTCAATCTTTCCCATTGAAGTTTTGCCGATTTCTCTTTCAAGAATATGAGGTAGCTTTAAAAAGTTTGCAGAAAAATTCCATTATCTTTTTTTTTTTAAATAGCTGCTATAGTTTTAATTTAATTTTCTTTTAATGTTTTATTGTGAATTATATGATAGTTTACATGGTAGAACATTAGTTTTATATTCATTCTATTGTATATCATTTAATTGCCATGGTTACAATCCCCTCCATGCATCATCAACCAACCAAAGGGTATACCCTGCAAGCCTGCCCCCTACACTACCCCCCACCCCAGTCTTCAGCACACAGTCGCTCTCCCTTCTCTGAATCTAAAGTCCCCAGCTGCTCCATCACTCCACGTCATTGTCTCTGCCTCC